CGCGGGCTGCGGTGGCCGCCGCCGTGGGGAGCGTGAGCAGGGACGGGGTGCTGCGTGGGAACTTTCCCTTACGCCTTTATACATGCGTATATAAAATTGGAGACAGTTTTGGGAACGGCGTATCACTAGCCTGCGGTCCGGGAAAGTATTCTTAATTTTTTTAAAATAGATATTCCACCTTGCCGATTTCATAGCTTGATATCTTACTGCCTTTTTGGGGCGCGGGAGTTGTACGGAGGCCGAACCCGCGGCAGTAAGCGATCAGCAAAACCTGGTAACGCAGGTGAGAGAAGCTCGACCAAGACAGATGTTTTTGAAAAGCCACCTTTCCAAAACTCCCGACCTTTGGGAAGAACTGAACGCAGTAACGTTTACTTAAAGTGTAGTGATGGTGGGTAACTTTGTTGTGCCTTTCCGGTTTCCCCAAGCGTAAATGTCTCTGTGCTGGTTCCTGGTGGCTAGCTGCCCGTCTCTCAAAAACGCCGCCCTTTCCTGCGGCACCGGAGCCGCTCAGCAGTGAACCGGCGTGAGGAGCTCAGACCTGACCTCCAGCTTACCTGAGCAAAGCGCTGGCGTACAGACAGTTGCTTGTGCTATAGAAAATAGTTCTGTAAACCCTCATGCTTGCTAGTGGCGTCCTTAGCTGTGAATGAGCATACAGAAATTTATCCTAAAAAAACCCCACAACAAAACCCAGCTCTTTTGTATGCCTCTTTTATCAACATAATGAAAACTCGCTTTAAAAGAAGCCCCACCAACCAGACAAAAATACTCCTTATTTTCTAACTGTTTCGTAAAGCGTTGTGCGTATTCTCATATTGTGACTATGGAATTCCGTGTACCAGGTCTTTTTGACAAAAATTTGCAAAGATGTTCAGAGCTGGACGTATGTGTATAATTGCATGTCAGAAGGATGATAAGGAGAAAAATTGTTTCACATCCAAGAATAACTAACTTTCAGTGGTAGCAGATAGATTTTCAGATAAAGGTTTAAGGTAGTTGCTAACAATTGTGTGTAGCGTGATAATGTCTATTTTTAAAATATTTCATGTTTCTCAACATTAATTTCTGCAACCTTTTGCATATATTTCTATATCTTCCTTCAACAAATTTTATCCAGATGTTCCTCATGCATCTTCAAGGCCTCATCATCTGTGAGTGATGCACAAACACGGTTTATTCTTCCAACTGAAGCATTTGCCATTTTGTTTCAAAAGCTAGAACAGTGTCTTGACCAGATTTCAAAGGTGGTACAAAGAGTATTTGGAAAAAACTTTCAAAAGCGTTTGAGTAAACTCTGCAGTTCCAGGAGATGCAAAAAAGGGAGATGATCAAAAATGGAATATTTCCAGATGAGCATCTATCTTTCATTTCCAGGGAGACAAATCTTTACAGGTGGGAAAAAATAACCATACAACAACGACAGAAAAGCTTTTTTGTGCGTATTCATCTTTTTTGCTTATGCTTTTATGCCTATATTTAGCTAATTGCTAGCATTTGATGAAGAAGGTCTGTGTGCACAGAGAAGCTATCCTATATTGTTGTTTGGGGTTTTTCTTGCCTTGACAAATTTATCATATTCTTAAATACAGAGTTCAGGTTTGGAAAGATTTGTTTAATGCTGAAAAAAAACTTCTAGGGGAATGCTTTTCTGTTTTAAAAATGTCAAGGTAATGGCTCATCTGCATACAAGGAATCTGAACTGTTACGGTAGCTCCTGCTGACAGCTGTGTCATAAAGACAGTTTAATGCGTCCAACTCAGTAAATGTGACAGAAAAAGGTGATACCTAATAAAGTGTTAGTTTTTTTAGAGACGTCTAAGCAACCTGGCTTACATAGTGATTTCCTTCTTCATTAGGCAGAAGATCTCTTCTTTCTGCAGCCTATGTGGACAGCTCAAAATGGGAAAAGAGACAAAAAGAGGAGCATAGCCTGGGTGAGAAAAGTTTGTTTCTTTTTCTCCACTTTGACTAATTAATTGCAACCTGAACTCATTTTAGACTAGCTCATCATCTATAAATACTTAAAAATAAAAAATTGTGTGGAGCAAAATGCTTCTGAGGTCCTATGTCAAAATCTGCTTAAGATGTTAAGAATCTGTTACATATATTCAAAGCTATAATGCAGAAACAAGTTAGAATTTGCCCATTTAATTAATGTTTGGTTTCTACAAGTTTATTTTTTTCTTTTACAAAATCCAAAGCTTTTATGAATGTCATCGTTTTGTGTCTGACAGTTAAGACTGTCTCCGAGTGTCCTCTTCATTGACATTGTTTTAATATAGTGCAGAGGAAGACTTATTCTATAAGTGTACAGGGCATTCCTATTTCAAAGCCTTTTTTTAAAAGAATGTTTTCCTCAGAGGCTTGCAGGAGGGAAGGTTACATTTCTTGTTGACATTTTAGATTTTTCTTTTGGGGAAAAATGAACCTAAACATTTCGTTTCCGAGAAGTTGTACGTTAAACTGTATCTGCATATGGTACTGAGATTTCTTATGCGAATTTCATAGCTAAATTCTTTAGCTAGATTACATTTGAAATGACATTGCACCATCTTTTTGGTGACTATGTTAAATGGAAAGCATCATGCAAAACATTTTTCCATTCTAAAGATACATATGCGTTATTTTGTACCATGAGTGTTTTGGAGACCCCTTAATGCATAATCTTCCATTTTTCATTCCTGGGCGCTTGAACTGTGTTTGTTAATTATAACACAGATTATGAGGCTGAAAGAAGAATCAGCAGGTAAAATTCAAGGGCTGTTGTCAGGCAGGAAGGCAGACAAAATGATGACAGTAATGTTTTTTATGCACTAATTTGTTTCTGTTATTTGCCTATAAACAGCTAGGTTGGTATCGTCAACACGTTTTACTGTACGTGGGCCAGAAAGAGCCGGTGGGTGCTCATGACTGTCACTTGGATCCTGCAGAGACTGTTAATACCTTCTAACCCTTTATTGTCAATAGGACTGCTCATGCAGTGATTTTTTGGGCTGGAGCCCTGGGATGCATTTGAACCAGTCACCTCCAGATGAAAAAGGGTTCTTATTTTGACAGATGTCATAGGCAATAGAAATCCACATTGTTATGCAAGTGCTGGTAGAGTCCATGTTTGGCTTTCTCCAGGCCTGGCAAGACCTTTCGTGACTGTTTGGCAAGCACAGTTCTTGCTGCTGCTCTGCTGATGATCTTGATCCAAAGCAGATGTCTGTTCCATGCTTGTCAAAAAACTGCTTTGCATTTTCATTTTGTGTTCACAGAAAAGAGAAAACAAGTTAACACGGTGTCAGCTGTATTAGCATTTTCAAAGAGGAGACAGCCCTGCAGATGTCTGCTCTGTAGCTGTCGGATGTATGGTCGCACATATAATCTTCTGTGTACTAACTAGTGATTGTAGCTAGAGTGAATTCGTTGTGTTGAGGACATGCTCTTTTATTTGTGTATTTCAAACACTGTTCCAGAACTGTTATTCTGCAAAACTATGTTGTGAGAATACGTTTAAAGGAAAACAAAGTATTTTTGATTTAAAGTCAGTTCCATTTCTCTGCTGCAGTGATGCGGTACCATCCCAGACTCAAACTCATTCACCGTGCCCATGTAAGATATGCTTTATTCTCCGTAGTCTCAATTTAGCATTCCAAGCATGAATGAATTTAGCGAACTTCAGTACTGAAAAAAGTGTGGGAAAGAACAAGGCTGTATTTTGTGTACAGAAGCACATTTGTTCAAAATGATAGGAATTGAAAACGTGTTAATTTGGAATTTACAAACTGCTTGCTGGTAGGAAGATACCTGTCTAGAAGTAATTTGGATTCCACTTATTAAAAATGAGATATCAAGAAAACAGGAGGCATGGCTGGACTTAGATTCTCCAATGTTTCAGTTGGTTCATCACTAACAAGGGTAAAATTAAGTGACAGTAAGCATCTTCATGAGAAGAATAGCAATTACCAGAATCCCAGGGGATGGCAGAATCCAACTGAGGTAGGAAATGTCTGGGTTTTGTTAGAACTCATGGTACCCAAAATGGCTCATCTGCAACAGCAGGTGGCAGTGCTGCCTTTACAGACTTGAATAATTTCCATTCAAGCCTTCTTCGGTTCAAAGCTGTAGTTCTTTCCAGAAGCTGTTAGGGATGTGGAAATACTGAGAAATGTGAAACATATAAATTTGTAAAGCAAAGTACTTGCCTCAGCCTTCCTTTATATTTTAATTGGGTCTTTAAAGTAAATCAAGGCTTTCTTTATACAGAAAATGAAATGTTAGTGTGTGAGTTAAGGTATTAGCTCTGCCCATCATTCCCAGGACAGGTAAACTTTGTGTGACAGTTGTATCTGCTTTCCCGTTGCTGCCCCATCACTGGATTTCAACCCTGTCCTGGATGGACCACTTCTAAGAATAAGAGGGTAGTGACCTTACACGGTGGCCAAATGTGCCACTTGTTGATGTGGCTACGTGCTGTGGATAGGTACACACTGCAAATCAGACTGAACCTGTGTTGATTTCCTAGGCTACCAAACTGGTATTAGATGTCATAACCACTGACTTGGAAGGTGAGGGTCACTATTTTCCCAGTCATTGTCCTGAATCACCCAGTTGCAGGCAGGAAGACATTGAGTTTCTATGAACAAATGAAAATAAAAGTGAACATGAAATCTCAGATACCAGTATTCTAGAGACAACTGTGAAGTCATGTCCAGAAATTATATGACTTCAACTCAGACTTAAGGTTTGTTTTGTCAGTTTGTTTAAATCCATGAGATTCTGCAATATGCAGAAATATGTTTCAAGATAAATCAAAGTTTTGTAAAAGTTCATCTTGTAGAAATGTATTTTCAGGCAATGTGTATAAGAGATTATATATGCTAGTGTCCTCTTTGGTAATGACTACCAGATAAAAGCACTTGCCACATATATCTGTTAGAATGTACATAGAATTTTGCTTTGGCCATTAAAACATTTATTTGGTTTATACATGAATGTTAGCGCTCAAGTTTTACTACCAACAGTGCTAGGAGACTTGGGCATTCACATTCTTGCATTCTAGTACTTCTGTTGGGATGTTTTTAACTAAGAAGAAGCTTTAATCTTAATTATTGAATAGCAAACTTAGTTTACAGAAAGTAGGTGAATTATTTCAAATCATGAATATGAGGGGAAAAAGTCTGGTTTCAGCTGCTCTTCAGAGAAAACAAACCAGGAAATAATTACTCGCTGCAAATTGTTCATATCTAGAAACTACAGCAGAAATGACAATTGGTCTGGAAACAAAGCTAAATTTCCCATTAACTTGATTTGTCTTCAATTCTTTAAGGTTTAATCAGCTTTCATTTTATTGTGACTCTTATACTGGAGCTGTTAGATAAGTGTGTCATGTTGCTTTCCATGCTAAAGTTCTGATGGAGAGTTCCAGCTTTGTAGACAGCATAAAAGGTCAATCATTAAAATTCTATGTGTGAACTCTCCCAGAGGAGGCCTGTGCATGAATGGCTAACAGTCTCGGTTGGGATCTTGCACTCTTAGCATTGCATTCATTGGTTTATGTTCTACTTAAGTACTTGGTGTTTCCTGAAATGCGCTCTGCATCTTCATAAGCACCTAGGCAAAAGAGTGCCATGCTCAGGAGTTGAGTATGGCCCAAAATGGTCTTAGGTATCACCTTCCAGTTTTCAGAGAGTGATGCATAACAAAAATAGTTCTGGAATAGATAAACGAACTCCCAACCTGTCCAGTTGTCTGTCTCAGGTCCACATTGCTGTCATCAAACATAGCAGATTTTGGAGTGAATAGTTTTTTCCAGCTATCTTGAAATGCAGATGAAGAACGTTGGATGACGGTTGGCTTAGTATGTTTAGGCAAGGATCTAGCCAGTTCTTAGTTCCTTGACTTGGCCGCAGCATCCATTCTCTCTAACTTGTAGCGCTACTGGGAATGCCCCCAAAGTCTTTATCTACATGCTCTCCATCACCTTTGTGAGTGCTGGAGAGACAGGTAATATAGAGGCAAATACAGACACTTCCTCTAAGGATATTCCCACAGAAATTTCTTTACCATTAAAAAAGTTGATCTGCTGTTTTAATGGTTATCTGGTATACCATGGCCTCATCAGCTCAGCATCCTGTGTTGTATTTCGTAGGAGCTGGTACTTGACTCAGTAACTTTACCCCAGATTCCCTTTGCTTTCATGGTCGTGAAATGCTTGCCTTCCCTCAGCCAGAGATGAATGCTCTTTTTGTGTTTTGAAGAACACCTTAAAAGTGCCTCAGGAAGGAAGCTGTTACGTAAACACGAAATACTGCTATGTGGCAGACAGCAGCATTGTCCAGACTAAGAGTCAATCATTTTATTCCAAATCAAGGCACTATCATTTTACTGCAGCAAAAATCTTTGCACTTGTGTTGTAATTTGGGAGAGTACCTATAAGGTCAGAGTACCATTAAATGCCATTTGTACTGTTAGAACTGTATACCTCAGTATTCATTGGTGGTACAGGTGTGTTTTTAAAATGATGAATAGTGGTATCACTTGTTTTGTGGACAGAACATACATGGACTGCATCCCTCAGAGACACAGCGTGTTACTGGTGCAGTGCTGCTTCCTGCCCCTGACAACTTTGCCGGAGTAGAAGGCTTAGTCAGTTCTGATGTGGTGCTGCCAGTTGTGCTCACCTCACATTTCATTGACAGGTGTGGAGGTCAGATGACCTTTTTGGAAAATGAATTGTAAAACGAGCCAATCCATCCCTGGCCAATGGGACTAATTGAGAGGTGTCAAAGGAGAGGCTCGTTTAGTAACAGTTGCGGTCTTGGGGTGCAAAGGATGAAGCAAGGGGCTAATAATGCAGAGAGAATATGTTGGATTCTTAGTCCTGGAAGATGCAAGAGAATAGGAAGAAAGGGTGTGATTGAAGTCTCTAGATTTTATAGATTGGATATCATCAGTTCATGTCTCAGCTAAGAATCGAACAGCTGACACTAAGCATACAACAACTTACTCTTCCTGAGTCATCATTATTTTCCAGGATCAGTACAAAACTAAAACTCCAAAATAAATTAATTTAACTTCCAATTAAATTCATTAAATGCAATCATTGGCTACCTGTTCAACAATCAGAAGCTTAAAGTTCCTGTACGGTCAAATTAATATTGTTATACGACTGCTGGAGCAGAACGCTATAAAGTTAATAAGATGCTGGCACAGATCCCAGATGATTAACAGGATTTCTTTGGATTGCTGTTTGTGACCGTAGGGTTTATCAGTACAGTACTCCTTGTTTCTGTGTCTCATTGTTTTACCATAAAATAAAAGGACAAAGCCATGCCAAAAGCACTGTCCAGCATATGCTAAGCTTGAAAGCAAATGTGAATTTTAAGGACATCTGCTCAGTTTTTTTAGATGAGTTGTATTAGTTACACTAATTTCCTCCAACAGATGATAGGGTAGTTTGCTTTCCCCCCCCTTCCTTCCAATAAGTTAAAATCGTCATGCTGAGAACCTTTCCATTTATTATTTTCCGTTAAAGTATTTAACAATAATTGAAAGTATTATTCTCATAAAACTTCAAAATGAGATGTTGACAAGGAACCAGAATTTGATTTCATGGACAGAGGTTCTATTCTAGGTTATATGATGGCTCTGCAGATTTCCGTGTAATGCCACTTCATTAAACATACTCTTTTTCTGTTTTCTCCAGCTGACTTAGCGCACTTAATGGACAGAACCTATGAAAGAAAGCTGCCTGTCAGCTCTTTGACAATAGCCCGGGTAAGGAAATAAATCCCAATCATAAAGTGATGGAAATAACAGTGGAATGCTTATGAAATCAAGTGAGCTGAGGAGGGTATAAATGATAACACTTCTGCTGGGAGTTCTGGGATGGTAAATGTCTTGTTACACTGTTAAATCACTGTGTAAAGTTGTTTTACTGTTACTTTGTACTCATTAGTTAGTACCTGGACTGTAGTGTCTTCAAAACAGAAATAGGTTTTATTCCTCAGTAAAATCGGGCCTCACTGTTACTGGGCTATATATTTCCCTAATATATGTTCCCTGCCTTCCTGTGGTTTCTGTCTTAGTGAGAGCTTTAATGCCCCCTCAGGCACTTTGTAAGAACTGAGGCTGCTAAGGGAATGCAATGGATTAGCACGCTGCCTGTCTGTGTGCATCTTCCTCCACTTCCAGGCTCCTTTCAGAATGAAGCAGAGGTGGATACATTTTGCCTCTATAGTTTTCTTTCCTTGCGTCAGCAGACTGAGGCAGGACAAATGCTGGGGTGGGGGTAGGTGAAGCCATTATTTTTACTGGAATTAGTAACCCGTTCCATCCTCTGGATAGGTTAATCTGGGGAGGGGGAGTGAAGGCAGAGATGTGAGATGTGCTTTTAAGTTCCCTGTATAAGTGAGTGTTTGTACTGAAGAAGGAGAATAAATATGTCACTTGTTTAAAAAAAACAAAACAAAACAAACCACAAACAAAACCCTAGCAAAACCAAACTAACTCCAGTCTTCAAAGTTATCCAAAAAAGCTCAGTCACCTCCCTGGTACCTCAGTAACACCACTAATTAGGATCATTGGCACCACTAACTGAGGAGTCACAGAACATTTTCTAAAGTTACAAGATCAAGCATTTATACAAACCATTCTTGATTATTGCTTCTGGGACAGCATCCATGGGAGAAATGGGTGTTCCTCTCCCTTTTATTACTTAATCAGCTTTATTCCTTTCCTTCATGTTCCTGCTTTGGGCTGACCTCTTCCCTGGAGAAATGGCATTTCCAGATTGTCAGACAGCCCCACTTTCCAATACCTGGAGCTCACATCAGATTCTTATTTTCTAAAATGTAAATAAAGCGCACAGGCATGCTATTGCCACACTCAAAAGATGAGACCTACATGTACAGAGCATGCAAGGAGAGTTAAGAAACTGGAGAGCAAGTACCAGTCAGCTGAAACTATTATTTTTAGCTTATGCTTAGGTTAAAGAGAAGTAGTGACCTTGAAAACATGTTGTTTATATATTCTGAGCTAAAGGTATTATATTGGGAAGACTCTGGAATGTTCCAGCATCTTTATGCTTATGTTAGTAAAATCTACAGGAAAAGAGGATTCATTGTTACCATAAGACAAAGTCTGGTTGAAAACTTGGCTTTTATTTAAATAGTTGATAGCACTGGGAATTTTGGAAGATTGCCTGGAGTAGACAAGGTTTTAAATGAGGGAGGAAAATTGTGCTTTGCAGCATGGTGGGGTGATTTTTTTCTTACCGTTATTTGTGTGTGTGGTGAAATACAAAATGCTGTTGCCCCTGTCCTTCAGAATTTATAGTATGAATAGGCACAACAGGCAAATGTTAGGGAAAAGAATACTTTTTAGAAAGAGAAGTAAGGCATTTCGACACTCACTCAAAATTGGGAGGGGGGGGAAGAAAAGGAACTGAATGTATTTTCAAATTAAAGGGTGTGATTAAAGAGCAAAAATTTCAGAGAGGAGCAGCAAAAATACGGGGTACTGAGCTATATGAACATAATTATCAGATGGTCTCCATGTTTTCAAGGTGCATAAAATTTCTTAGAGGCAAGGAGGGGAGTTGTCTCAGTTTAAAAAGATTTGACTTTTAGCAGCGTAGGAGAAACCTGAGTAGGCGCAAGCTAAGACTTGAAGACTTGCAGTACTGTCAGACACCTAAATATGCCAAAAAAATTTATTTTGCTTATTGAAGTAGCACATTCTTCTAATATGCTTTGTGAGTGCTCCCTCTGAAGCTTTTATTTCTTACTTTTTAATCAGTTTGTTGACAGCATTTCTTCACGAGAGGAAGTGGATCAAGCCGAATATTACCTTTACAAGTAAGCATCTTTTTCCCCTAACATGAACTTTGAGACATACAAGTAAATACCATAAAGTCTTGCCCTTTTAAGACTCTGACCCTTTCCAGCTTACTGGCTTTGATTTCTCTTTTGCAAAATATGTGCATCTACTTGTCATACAACTCACAGCTAAGGGCCTTCTTGGTAACTGCTCCTTTGTCATGGCTACCCTCCTTCTGGGCTTCTGGCATTGATTCCTGTCAAGCATATTAGTCTGAGCCACTGAAAAGCTAATACAACCTCCAGCTATGATTTACATTAGAGATGCTGAAATTATAAGGAATTATGTTTGTTTACGTTTTTTTCCATCTGACACTTTTTTGTTCTCTAAGTCATAATTTAACTGAATTGGTTATATGCATATTTGCATGTGCAAATGTAGAACTCAGGGAAGCTTGTTTCCTTAGAATGAACAGAAATGAGAATGGGCATGCTGTGGTAATGATCAAGTCAGCAAGGCTAAATGAAGTATAGTTTTGGATTTTACGCCCTTAGTATTTTATGTTCCCCAGATAAGCTGCATAGTTCACCTTATGCATGGGTTGTTAGGTTTTTCTGCAACTATTTTTGTGTTGAGTGAAGTGTGTTGGGTACCTTTTCTGCTAGTGTCAAGTTGAATGCTTGCTTGCTTCAGGTCAATACATCTCAATACCAGCTTTAAGAGGGCAGTAATTCTTGCTGATCACTAAAATAAATTAGTTATTTTGTGGATGGTTGCACACACATTTTGAGAGCTAGGTTTCTTGATGGAGAAAGTAACTTATCCTGTCAAAGTGCATGAGAAAGCATCTTTACAAATAATGTCAGGTTATTATTTGTAAATAATAATGATTGTTATTTTAATGAAGAAGTTTACTGGATGGCTGTTTTAAGTATATGCATAGTTGTAAGTGCATGACTGCATGAGACTTCAGATCCCTGGTACTACTGGGGCAGTATCTGAACCTCAGAGCTTCAAGAGAAACCCAGTTTGCTAATCCTAGCAGTATCCTGTAGTGAAAAAATAAAAGGAGGAAGAAGAATCTCTCCCAGAGAGGAGGTTAGTGGAGCTTGATCAGATTCCTTCTGATCAAGATTTCATTAGTCCTGTCAGAATCTGGTCAGAAATCAGTTTTCCATCCTGCAACAGGTGAGATGAAAACAGGAGAAAGTAGGGCCAGTTTAAGGCAAGCCCTTGTTTTTGTTTTACAGATGTGCTATTAGTACCTTTTGCTAACATTCTTGAAGATTGTGATTACATTGTGCCACACAGACTAAGTTCTCTCTGATGGAGTCAGGCCCTGTAGGGTAAGAGATGCCAAGAGACCTGAATGCCCTGACACCAAGAGGAAAGTGTGATAGTTTAATTGCTGAGTCTCAAAATGGTACAGATAAAATCCAGACAGTCAGAGTAAGATGTTCATACATAATGTATCTTACAGGTTTGTTCTTCTTGAAAACAAGAGGTTCAGAGAGCGTGACAAAAAATTAGAAGCATAGAAAACATTCCATAGTAAGAGGGAGAGAATAGAATGCGAATCTCTAACATATCCTCCTCAGTCTTCATCTGTGCCTGGTTAGTACATCAGTTTAAAATACAGGGGGTTTATCCTTAAAAACACATTCTAAAGGAAAGACTTGCAGTTCAAAAATAATTACAGTTATTTACTGTTTCTCTAAGAAATAATTCTGCGGCTGGTGAGAGTATTGTTATGCGCACATCAAATATGATCATTTGTAATTGATACAGATTTTAGTAGTCTGTGTGGAGAGAATAGAGAGGTACTGATGTGTCACATGGCTTGTCAGACATGCTTTGGTTGGAATTTTTCTTGTGTGTGTCCCTGTAATGCTGCTTTGTTTTGGTGTTGCAAAATGCTTAGTCTTTCGGTGATGTTAGCATCAGCTTTCCAGGAGACTTCATTCCAGCATGATCTGTGAAACTATTCTCAAAATGCATTTAAATGCAGGTAGTGAAACAGCATAGAGGGGTCTGTAATTCATGTGAAAATGTAAAAATTCCAGTTATAACATCAGCTTCCCTTTCAAATGAAAATAAGTGTGCTAGCTTCAGGAAATAGGATATATGGTTGGTATCCACAAGGCCCGTATTATTGTTCTTTACATTTTGCACTTAAGCTGGAGTTCAAATGAAGGACATGTTTATAAAGATATCTCTTTGCAGCTGGGAGGATGTTTGACACAGAAGAAGTACTGCAAAAGTGGCCACACCATGAGACATAAAGGAGGTGGTAGAGAGGGAGAGTTAAGAAACTGAGGAGCTTTGACAAGAAATCTCTTTTTCTGGCTTAATTAGAAACACTTCACAGCACAATTTTTGTACTTTATGTGAGGAGAGTAAGCTTCTAAAAAAGAGGCACTATCAGCAAAAAGCTTTTTTGTATCTTCTGAGGTATACAAATACATTGTGAGCAAATGGCATGTACATGGCCTCGTAAGTTGGCTGTACGTGCATTTGCCTGAACATAAATAAGCAGAATGCTCCCAGGGTCCTGTGTTTTTCCTCTTAGCTGCCAGTAGGATGTAACAGGGAGATTTTGATGTCTCTCCTCAATGTTGGGTGCCTCTGTCAATCTGAGGTGAAGGGTAGTCAGTTCCAAGGCCCCTACAAGGTTGGAAGATGTTCCTGGTACAAAAGGGCAAACTGTGCCTGTGGGAAGAATCAGAGGGAAGTAAGTGGCATTTCCATGCTTGCTGTGTGGGGTTTTCCTGAAGATGGGAGTGCCAGAACTCGCAATTGTAAGCTTTGTACAGTGGAGACTTTTCCTTGTCGTGTGTGAGACTGAACATAGTTTCAAAAAGTCGTATTCTGGAGCATTACCATAATGCAATTAGGGTCCTGAAATACAATATACATATTATATTTAGACCTGTTTCAACTTTCCATCCTTTTAAAGCAGTGGATCTCCAGCCATACTGTCTCCACAGAGGATCTTGAGCTCTCAAGAATAGCTGTGTGGAAACTGCTACGCTACATTGTGGAACATGTCAGTAAGATGGTAAAGGCCATTTTGAGGCATGACGTCATCTGCTTTCAAGTGCTCCTCTTTTTGTTCCCTCTGAATACCTCCCCTCTTCTGTTAACTGTCAGACTTTAAAAAATCCTTTCATCTCCTGGGATCCCAGCAGAAATTCTAATCAGAACGCAGAGCACTTTCAGCCAGATCAAAGACCCGCGGTTCACGTTACTTTGTCCTGTTTCACTGAGATGTCACTATTTCTCATGTCAGGGTGTTTTTTGTATGATAGAAACATTAGCATAATGGAAAGAGGTTTTGTGGTTAGGTAACTCTGCTGATTCTGTATGTAGGTTTTATGCCAACACAGATTTTCAATGTGTTTGAAAGCAATTGTGGAAGTTTTATGTTGAGATTCCTCAGGAGGATTTTTAATTGCATTAAACCTATGACCCACTATGTAGAAAAAAGTATACACACTGCCTGTAAAATGTAAATGTTTATGTAAATGTGCATGTACTCTGCAAATTCTTGCACAATCTACCTACATTTTTTCATTGCCCTTCCTTGATTGATAATTGGATTTTTGGAAATGGAGTTATTTCTGCAGATTTCAGGATTGATTACCTGGAGTCAGTACTTGATTATAATCACAAAATGGGACAATAGTGAACTATTAGAAGTTATTCTTAGATATGCTGCTATATCTTTCATGGTAGCAAGTTACAGTTTTGAGGCCTGATTTCAGCCATTAAATCATTTTGGGACTATAGTGGTCTCCGTATGTATGAAATTGTGCTTATTCCTTGTAATGCCAATGTATCGGTAGTTAGTCCAATATCACATGCAAAATAAGTTTCACCTGCACTGTCTGTATCTGCATGTCTGTTCTGTGGGTGCAGAAGTTGCAGGTTTTGATACTTTCATGCCAATCAAGCAGTTTAGCATCTGAAAATGTTCAGTCACTTGAAAGTATTGCTTGTAATAAATGATCACAATGGACCAAAAAAAATTTTACTCCTGAAAGGTACTTTGCATGGCATTCATTCCCACTAATATGATATTTTGTTTCTGTATATAAATCTACAGGATGTAATGAATATGATTAACCTGTTCCAGCACAAATAGAAAAAGGAGAAGAGATGTAGGCACAATCCTACAACATATTTAATTCTTCCTTTGAGATGTTTTCATTGTCCTAAGGCTGTTGCTGACATACACTTAATCAGTTCATCAAGTCTTGGCTTTCGCTCCCTCCAGAGCAATATGTGGGTAAAAAAAAAGGCATATAAAAATAAGTGAGTCAGAAATATCTGCCTATTATTCAAGTTATGCAGCAGTTACATTTTGAAATGATATTGAGAAGTGGTGGAAGCATCTGAGAGAAAAATACATTTCATAGCCAGAGTGGTATGTCTTACCAGTTTGGACAGCTGGCTCAGCTAAGCAATCCAAAATAACTTCGTTTGCCAAAGATCTGGGCTGTTCTTTGGCAGGCTGGGAGACACAAGGAAGGGAAGCACCAGAGAGATTTACCTCATTAGAATGTTCCAGTAATTTACACATGAATGACAAAATACCTGTGTTTAATGCTCTTGCATTATGGTGGCCAGTGTGTGATGCTGCTTCATGGGAGGAACTGTTGGTCACTATCCAAGCCAGGGCTGTCAGATGTAAGCATTCTGTCTTAGAGACTCCACTGCTCTTCTGGCTCCAGCATTCACTCATTTCTGCACAGAGGGGCACATTTGCTTACTTTCCTTGTCATCTTTCACGGTTTCTCAGTTGTCATTGTCTGTCCATGGTTTGTCAGAGTCTGAGTTATAGGAATCTTTGGTGAAAACAAGTAGCAACTACATTTCAGAATCCAGAGCCAAATTTCAGCAAGCCTAATCCTGTAACCACATCTCATTCAAGTGGGTGTGCTCAGTCAGTGTAACTGTGCTGTAAAGTGGGGGAGAACCATCAATAAAGATAAAACACTGAAAAGCATTCAGAAAGATCGCTTCCTGTAACACAGGC